CCCCAAAACCCCAAAACCCCAAAACCCCAAAACCCCAAAACCCCAATTAAGCTCTAAAATATTGAAACTTTATACTGTGAATGATCCCTTGAGACTATTAGAAGAAATAAACTACCAAATATCAAGTAGGGAGTAAATTTAACTCAAATTAGCTATAGTTCAGCGCTCTCAAAGGGTTTTCTATAAGCTAGAACCTTTCTATAAAACATTCCTTATTTTATTCGTTAGCCCTGGATTTAGAGAAATTTTATCAGTAGAATTATTGCTGAATAGTCATTCTTAGATATTTTTGAGTAATGAAGCGACCCATAATTGAATTTATTACAGAATAAAATTAGAGCAAATCAGTATTAGAAAACAAACATTCGGGTAAAATTTGTCTGACAAAGGAGTATTTTTCTGGTAAAATGAATGAAATCCAACACCAACAGAAGGAGGAATACTTAGTAGAGAGGGAATCTACTTGCAGTGAAGCCAAGAAATGATTATATAAATCTTATCTAGCATTCATTCTCAGTTCCCTCTCTATGCATCTTCCTCAGATGTAGAATAAGGTTACTTGAACTTATGATATATTAGCTGGCTTTACTCTGTGTTTTAAATCATGAATTTTCGAGTGGTACATCTTCCTCATTGTGTCAATGCTATTTTTAAAAATTGCACGCTTGATTTCATCTGTATGATGATGAAGGAACTATACCTCTTTTCTCAAAAGTCTTTCTGGGTGAGATAGCCTTTTCTTCCCATTCTCTGTATTTACTTTGCGCCAAAGTGTTTATTTTTAAATTCTTCCTGATTTGAGACTGGATATTCATTAGTTCCTTCTGAAGCATCTTTCTTCGGTCAGCTATTTTTGAAGAAGGACTTCAAAGTCTTGCCATTGATATTATGGGGGTATTCTAAACTTAAAAGATTCTCTTACCGCTGTAGAAAAGATAGAATTTGATAAATCCATAAATTGCTTATGCTTTGCAGAGAGGTCAACATACAAATCCTTGTTTGACTGCTTTCGAATGGAAATAACACTTCCTGCTCCTCTAGTATTCATAATTCTTTTCTTGATAGTTTGACTAACGCCGTTTTGGTTTCATCTTTTTGGATATCTTATTGCAATCTTTCCAACGTATGAAGCTTGCTTTGGGTTTATCAAGTCAACTCTTTGTTCAAGAACAGATCTTGAAAGTCTGTTACATACTTTTGTTTGTTTAATACTTAAATTAAACGGTTTTTCTTCAAAGCCATTATCTATTCTCAGTCTGACTTGAGGACTTTCTTCATCACTATTGTTTTCTTTTTCAGGAGATTTCAAAATAAATTTGGAATTACTTTTCTTCTGGATGCTTAAAACTTTATTATCAGATCTTGAAAGATTGGTGACTGACAAAGTGTCTGTCAAGCTGTCAATATCATTTCCTAGTTCAAAAATATTTTCTATAAGGTTAGATATTTTAGGAGAAAAATAGCGCATTAGGTATGACAATTTAAGAACTTTTAGTCAGAAATTTATGAGGAGAAGAATAAAGAAGTTATATTTGGGAATGCTTTTTTCATTTCAATATCTTCAATCCAATTTACTAAGCAAATAGACTTAGGTTATGGTCGAAGAAAAGTAGTTTTCTTAATTTGAATGTGCCATAAAATAATCAAAATATCCATTTTTTATCATTTTTACTATTAATGTAAAAATTCATAACCTGTTCTAAAACTTTAAAATTCATAAAAACAAGCTCTAACCAAATAAGTAAGCATAATCTAATTGTCTTCGGATATTGTTACTATATTATTTTCCAAATTGTTCCCCTTAAACCTTCCCATGCATTCCCAAAAACTGAAATACCAGATAAGCAACTACTAAATGTTGGAAGTCTTCAAAGATGTAAATGTAGAATGCTTACTTGATCTTCCTCTGAATCTTTCCTTCTCCCCAAAGGTTTGTTTTAGTCTAAAACTCTCAGTTATGATAGGATTTAGGTGTAAATTCTAATATAAATGTCCGCAAAATTTACTCAATTAAATTGCTCTTTTTCTTCTCTTTGATAGCTTTTAAAGGATTTAAGAGAGCCAAGTGCTTGGCTTCTGGCACAGCTGTTCCCTTACGAGTAAGAACAATGTTTGACTTAGATCTCGCTTGTGCTAAGTTATTAGAAGATAGTGTATACCTGCGATACTGATGTTCAAATTACTACCATGGCATCTTCTTTTGCTAATTGAGATTCTTCTTACGAATCCACTACTATTTTTAGACTTATTTCTTTGGGCTTTGGATATTCCTCTCTTTTGTCTTGATAGAATTCTATAATAATCTTCTTCTCTTACGATATGGGTAATGTATTTGTTCAATTTTCCAAAAGGAGAGAGAATGATACCTGCTACTCCTTTCCACGATTTCTGATGACTCATATCTGCATATTCAATTAATGGGGCTTCAAAAATAGGAGTATCATCGAATAACTCATTCAGGTCATATTTTAGCCTAGATAACTCAACCTTGCCTTTATCGTTCATAAACTTAATTTTAGTTTCATTGTTTTGTTTGCCATCATGTTTCTTCGCTGTATCACATAGTCTAATCTTCTTCAATTTTTTAGGGCTTCTCTGTCTGCTGGTATTCTTCTTATAAAGCATTTTGATAAATTATTAACATTTCTCAATTAAAATTTAATATATAGGGGTTTTGGGGTTTTGGGGTTTTGGGGTTTTGGGG